TCTTTCTGTGTTGTCGCATGCCCTCCGGTCACCTCCTGCTGGGGTGGGGGGTCGGGGCGGGTGGCGGTCCTACGGCTCCGTCATGTGCTCTCTGGTGTGGTCGCCGTGTTTGGAGGGTTGATTGGGTGATGTGGCCTGTGACGGGTGGGTGCCAGGGGGCAGGGTGTGGGTGATGGGAACGCCACCCGGCACCAGCCCCTCAATAGGTCCGGGAATTCCACTGGGGGCGACACCTACCACACCGGGGGGGAATCTGGAGGTGTGAGTGGAAGTGGATTTTAAAATTTATTTTCATTTTTATATGTGATATCAACTGCACCTGATCACTGTTGAAATATAAAACTGAAAAAAAAAATAGTGTTTTGGTGCCTTAGGTTCAACTACATTTATTAAAAGGTAATACATTTTTAAAAATTAATACGTATATTTAAAGTAATAAAGGTTTAAAACAGTTCTCTCCTCTGTACTATAGAACATAAATGGTTCCAAGTTCATCAGTATGAAGGCCACATATGACAGTTATAGTGTTCTAGTTCTAGTGTCGGGTTATTACTCTCACACAGTAGAAAAAAACACACGGTATTTCTTACTTCAGTTATCCTGTAAGAGTCAGGTTTTAGTGACAAGCAACTCCCAAAATACCCTTTCAAGTGCACTGCAACATTAAAAAGTTCCTTGTACAGAGTAGCATGTGACTAAGTAAGAGGATTACTGCACTGGTTTGAATACTTGGAGTGAACACTGTGTCCAACTACAGGGAGCTAAGAGGAGAGAGTGTGGATGAACATCCCAGGTCCAGCCTTCTCATTGGTCACCTACGATGCTGTGGGAGTTGATGAGATGCTGGGTGGTGTGGGAACAGATACGGTGGGGAGTGAGAGTGAAGGGGTTTTTATTCATGATAATATTCATTTGCTCTGACCTGTGGGTCAGCGCTGCTGGTTTCCATTTACCTGCTTGAGAATTATGTATATAATTTGTCGTGCATTCCCCCCGTTGCTATGGCCTGTACCATGGTTTGGTTCACTCGGCTGTGTGAGAGAAGCAGTTCAATCTGGTTGAGACAATGTACAGACGCAGTAACCAATGGATAACTACATTTGGGCCGGCTTCTAGGCAGAGATATGACACAAAAACTAAGACCCAATACAATATTCAGGAAAAGTAGACATTTGAACATGTGGACCACCCCGCCACCAGGTGTAAAGACTGGACTACTACAGGTTTTTAAAAAAAAGGAAGGTGATTTTTTTCCATCTTAGCTCTGTAGAGTCCACCTCCTACCTGTAGGCGGCGCCATTCATCTCAGGGTGAACTTGAGTATGCTGCTGCTCAATCACTCCCCAGGGCGCTGACGTGACAAAGAACTCTTTGTTGACACAGTTTCGGAGGCTGTCAGGGATACGGCCTGCGTTGGGGAAGAGTTCAACATCGGTGAGCTGTGACACCTGTAATACCACCACTGGGGGCAGCAATGAGTTAAAGCTGTTTCCATACCAGTGATGGCTCTGCGAATTTCTGTGGCGGCGGCCTCCCTCATCTCTAACGACGCCTGCTCACTGTACCAGGCGGTGTGAGGTGTGCAGATCAGGTTGGGGGCGTCTTTTAGGGGACCTTGGGTAAAACTGTCCACCAAACAAACAAAGAGACACAGCAGAAGTTCCGGACGATGCTGACTCACGTGATGTGAACCTTACGTGGAAACGAAGAATTGAATGAAACGGTTACCTGAACGGCTCCGACTCGTGGACGTCCAGCGCGGCTCCACGTATCCTGCCCTCCTTCAGGGCCTGAGTCAAAGCCTTTTCGTCCACCAGCCCGCCCCTGGACACGTTGACCAGGAAAGCTCCCTGACGCATCTACTCACCCAGCGGAAACAGTAGCAGTTAGACAAAAAAAAAAAACACTCTATGCTAGAGATAAACTCAAGATGAAACTGAAACAGAAGTACTGAGGCACAGTGGTTACCGCTGTTGCCTTACAGCAAGATCATTGGGTTGCTGTTTCTGCAGGACTAAGTTAATCGTTAACCCTTGTCTCTACGCGTGACCCCGTCTTGACCTAGTGAACTATCCAGGCTATGACCGCGGCCTGGCCTGATGACCGTTAGGATCGGTGGTTTTAACGCCCCCTGTGGCCTTGAAAAGGATTGAGCTTCAGAAGATGAAATAAATGAACGACAGGTACTCTGACGTCACGCATTAAATGCAATGACAACGCTTGCATTCCACTTCATGTCCTCCAGATGGCAGCAGTGACCTGGTGTTATCAGTGACTTTTCACTTTGACATTTGCAGTACATTTAAATTCAGATGAAGATATTTGTATTTATTATTAATGTGTATGTCATGGCTCTTTTTGTTGTTATTAGCTTTCATTTATACTCAAACAACAAAAGCTAATAATCAAATGTTGCCAACAGTGAGAAGCAGTGGTCGGCCAGGTGAGCAGCCGTACACAGCTGTTCTACTAACCTTGGGAGAACATTAGTAAAAAGAACACGCAGCGTGCTTGAGAGAGTAATGAGAAAGAGATGATGTGATATGAGGGTTTATCAACTTAAGGCTAAAGGTTCATCACTAATTTAAATTCCCCAACAGCTGTGTGTTTAATGTGAAACAGCCGAATAAATCTCCTCCATCTTCTATTAACCTCCGTCTTATCTGGCGGACACCTCTCGTCTTCACCTCCTCCACCCGCTCACCTGTTTGATGGTGAAGTCGTTGATGAGGTGGTGGTTGTGTTCGTTCAGACTGCAGTGCAGGGAGACACAGTCGCTCTGGTAGAGCAGGTCCTGGAGTGTGTAGACGCGCTGAACGCCCAGCGAGCGCTCCAAGCCGTCCTGGAGGTAGGGGTCGTAGAAGATCACGTTGAAGCCAAACGCCTTGGCCCGTATCGCTACTGCCTGGCCCGAGCGACCTGAGGAGGGCAGGAGTGGCAGAGGAAGACGTTTAGATACTACTTCATATTACTACATATACATATGCAAACTGTACACACACATATATAGATGTGTATACAGTATACACTAGCATGGTACAGCACAATATAGTATAATATGCTAATGGATATAATTAGCTTAGCATGTCTACTATAGTGGAAAACGCATTAACAGTATAGCCTAGCGCAGCTCGACATAGCATAGTATAGCATATCACATCACATCACAGTATCCAAACAAACTCTTACCGAAGCCTATCAGGCCGAGCGTCTCTCCTCGGATCCTCGCCGCCCCTGACGCCACCTCGCGGATCTGCTCCACGCTCTGGACCCTGGTGCCCTCCCGGAGAGCCTGGTACAGCCAGGTGTTTCGTCGATACAGGTTGAGGATGTGACAAAGTGTTGAGTCGGCAGTTTCTTCTACAGCCGCTGAGGGAATATTACACACTGCGATACCTGGAATAAACAACAACAATAATTGTATACTGTAATCCTTCACCTCTGTTGCTGCAACAACAACAACTTTCCCAGTGTGAGATCAATAAGGTTTAATCTAATCTAGTGTAATGTAATCTAATTCAAGATTAATTCAGGTGAAAATATAACTTTCCATACTATTTCCACATCTAAACTTTGAGGTTAGGTTGGAAAACATTACAACAACTAGCACAGTAAACGTCAATACTTCAATAATCCACAGGAAAGACAACATCTTTTTTTTTTCTATCAGTCATCCGACTACAACTCTACAACATGTCAAACAACAACAACTATCAAAGACTTTGAGTCAGAAGGGAATCTGAGCAGGAATTTCACATCCGTTGCATCACCGGCTCCACACAGGCCGACGGTTTCATTACACATTCTGTTTACGCTGTGTTGTATTTGTGACAACATGTGTTGTTAATGTTCCAGCCATACTTCCAGCACAGTTTGGTCCAAACCCAGAGATGAATACTTCACTCTCTGGTTGTTGATTCTCCCCTTCCTGTTCATGAACCAAGTCTTTCGTTTGTAAATGTAACGTCAGACTCACCGAGCTCCCCGGCCGCCTTGATGTCAATGTTGTCGTAGCCGCTGCCGATGCGAATGATGATGCGCAGCGCCTTGAACTTCTCCAGGTCTTCTCTGGTCAGGGTGATGGTGTGGTACATCATGGCTCCTACAGCCTCATTCAGCACCTTGAAGGACACGAGAAAAACAAACGACACCCACATTACCAGATCATTCTTCCACAGCACTGCGTGTTTCAGTCAGTGTCTGCTGCCAACGTGACCGAGAGCGTGTTCTTTTCCTTCCATTTTCCACCAACTTTAGTTCGCAGCTATTCTTCATCTAAATGCAAATGAACTGTTTATGTAAGCTGTGAAATATGAGTGGCTGTCTGTTTATCGCCGGTTCTTGCCAAAGCTTGTTTTTGTCACAGCCCGTCCGCTCAGACAGCATGCAAACACGTTTGGAGTGGATGTCAGCAGCGGCATAAAGTAAACCGACAGCTGCTGAGGAACTCTGAAAGCATCGGCGAGTGGCTTTCTGCAGACTGCAGCTGTTAGAAAAAAAATCAATAAAAGGTTTACATTGACAGCCTCCTAAAGTGAACCAACGTAACTGAACCAGATTAGCACAGCCATCGGCGTTAGTGTGGATGCTGGAGCAGAGGGGCTGGGAGGGGGGCTGGTGTGAATCTTATTCTGTGAGTTAGAGAAGCTGGCTGGAGGCGACGCTGGAAAATCACACAGAATCACGACAGACTTTTAAACAACAGCAAAATAAGCGCAGGGTTAGTTTAGATGAAGTGGAAAAAATGACTCCATGGATTCTGCTTTGTGGTAATTAGTCAAAGTATTCCCCTGCAGCTTATACTGGCACGGTATACATATGTAAGTACACAGTACTTTAAAAGCACAGGGTGGTTAATACCAACAGCCAGGAATCATGAACATTCCTAAGAAAGCACATGGGCTAGCCACGATAACAATGGCCTGTGCTAACTCTACACACGGGTGTTGACTGCAAGGCTGTCAAACTCATTTCCACCAGGGGGCCACATCAGCAATACAGTTCCCCTTGAAGGGCCGGTTGTAAATGGAAGACTGTATACATCAGGGGATGCCAACCCCCGGTCTGCGGACCAGTACTAGTCCATAGGTCATTTGGTAATTTTTACTAATTTACTTCATTTAAAAAAAAAAATCCAGTCATATCCATTTACTTTTTTATTATTTAAAGATAATCATAGTAATGCTGAGTAATAAAAAAACATTTAATTTCATAGGTTAAGAAACCTTAACCTAGGTGAGGCGGGCCACACAAAATGGCTTGGCGGGCCGCAGTATTAAGGACTCTAGGTGAACATAGACATTTTCAAGGTCGTCTCGGTGTCACAGTAGTTAATAGACCATGAGTGGTTCTTACCTTTTAAACTGTCCTCTTATTCTGTCAGTGACAGGAGGCGTAAAGAGAGGAGGCATCTGGCCACTCTACTGTGGTGAACGCACAAAAACACCAGGCCCGTCGTTAACACGCCTGGTGTTTTTGTCTGTTCACACATGTGTGGGAACAGAACTCTAAACTGCACTAATGAGACTTTTAGCAAGCCTACTACGGTGTGTGTGTGTGTGTGTGTGTGTGTGTGTGTGTGTGGAGTGCCCCACCTGCACCCTCTGCTGTGCAGTTATAGCTGTGGGACCTCTGCCAACAGCTACACTTCCAGAAGGGTCCTCTGTGTGTTGTTATGCATTCACTAAAAGATAATCTTACTGGACAGATTACTCTGGTATGTGCGTGTGTGTGTGTGCATATATGTGAACTGGTACCACCACAGCACTAAAATAGAGAAGTAATACCCACGGATGGAAAAGGAATTCTGCCGTATTTACCTCCAAATACATATCATTAAGGACCAGGGTCAGGAAACAGTGGGGGGTTCGAGGCCCTGAAGAAAATCACAATTTGCCTTTTGAAATTCCTTAATAGAGTTTTTATAGCTGTGTTCCTCATAGTTATCTCTTGATAATGTTGGTCTAGAAGTAGTTACAGTGTCTGTGTTTTTCTATTTAATTACAGCACTATCTGCAATGCTACATTTTTGCGAATAATTTAATTATTAAAAAAAAACAAAGAAACTATTTTCAGAGGAGGTATGCGGTGTAAAAGTTTGGGAACCACCGGTCTGCACCAGAGATCCTGAGCACAGCGGTACTTTACTGCTCTGAGCGATGGTGTCGTTATTCATCAAAGCAGCACATTAGCAGCAGCAGTGATTAATCTGTTACAGCTGAACTGGGAGAGTGGATCAGGTCAGTAGCATAAACGTTACGCCGGATGTGCTAGTGAGAAAGAGAGTCGTATGTTATTACAAGAAAGTGGTCTCGACAGATTTTTGGACTTAATTGGCTTTTACACAGTGTTTTATATGATGTCACATTTAAGCCTAATTAAAAATGCATTACTTTCCTCAACGTTACGGCTCTCTTAAATCCACTTTTATGATTAGATCTGTTGGTCCTAGTAATTAAAACCTTAGCATCAGAATGAATTCCACCTCACTTACCGCTTTATTATTACTAATAAATTCAAAGATATCGTCCAGCGTGGTGATGAGCTTGTTAAACAGAGCCACCCCCGGGTGCCCTGTTTTAACTGAGTTAATAGTTTTTTCCATTTTATCACCTCTATTAAGCTACAAAGTGCTTAAAACAAGACTATTAAACTGACAACAAAATAAAAAGCACTGGATAGATTTTATAACACCATTAACACAAGCTTTGACATTTAGAGTGTACTGTACTGTCCTGGACAGTTCACCAGTCTCATGTAGAGACAAACATATATGATCAATATCCAGTGAACCAGTGACATAGTTCTGTATGTTTCCATGTCAACAGTGGATCCATGATGCACCACAGAGCCACAGTATGAAGTTGTCGTTTGAACAGGGACTCTGTGAACCTCTGCCGTCCTCCACGTACCTTTTCATGAATCTCCTGCGTGGACTGGGCGTCACAGAACGCCACAGTGGCCAGATCTTTGAGAATGGGCATTTCCACAGTGCAGTCGCGCCCGTCCAGCAGCGCCACCAGGGGGCGCGGGTGCATAGGCCCATTCATAATCTGTGGCCGGATACCTGCAGAGAGACAAAAGTCAAGGAGTTAATTATTAACGTGTGGCCCGCACCTTCACAGCGGCTGCACTGGGATCAGTGTAATGTAGAAAACGCCTCCCAGAGCAGGGAGTGTTGACACAGGCTGGGGCTGTGTGTGCTGCCCATGTGATAGGCAACATAGGACACACACACACACACACACACACAAATACACGCGATATGACCACCCCTCTGTTTCACAGTTATAGACACAGTTACCAAGCAACGTGTCCTTACAAGCGATGAGGTCATCACCTCCATTATTCTATATGGTATAGTAGCTGACAGGTCATGAATGTAAGCCCCTGGGTCTGTGCTTCAGCGTGTGTGTGTGCAATTTACCTTCACCTTTTACATACTGTATGTTCATTTACAGCAGGCGGGGAAATCTGCAGAGAATTCAACTCAATGCTATTTACAGGCTTCATTGTTTTTAACGTAGATAAACATGGACAATATTAAGTATACACAAAGACGCACCGGGCAAAGAGTCGAGCCAATTAGACCAACCAGACCAACTGATCCATTTATTAGATGAGTTTGCTCAGTACACCTGGTGATCTCACACTAATGTAACCATGGAGTGACCTATTTCAGCATATTTATGTTGCTTTAAGAAACTATTTTTAGCTTTTTGCTAAACTATAATGACGTGTGATAAGGACGCCTGACATTTTACTAGAAAATAAAAGAATTAAACAATTTAATTAATCAAAATTTTTTAATCAAAAAAGATCTTTAAATCCTGCTGTAGACTATAGTATACTAAATGTTCACAGGAGATTTCTTTTTTTTAATTTGCCAATTCAAAGCTCATTTTAATTTTTTTTAATTTATGTTATATTAAAATATTTTGATGGGGTTACTGACCTAAATTTCATTTAAAATAAATGGAAAGAAAAAGAAGAGGTGTAGCCCACACTACACCACACTCAGGCTCCCTGCTGCCTGTTGTCATGGTGATTAGAGGATTTGGGCAGGATTATAAAATATTTTATTTAGTGGCATCTGCGCTGCTGGGGAGAAGTCCCAGGCTTCCTCTGTCTGCCTTTCTCTAACTGCTCCAGTTTTCAGGAACAACGGAGTCGGACTGGAGAAAAAAAGGTGAAATCCCAATGTGTGTGTTTTAACAAAATAGATGTAAATACTGTAAATGTTTATGCTGATTTGAAGTGAGCAAAATTATTAAGCAAATTAGAACGTGACATGGAGACTTAAACAAACACACAGTCTGGAAAAAATAATGTGACACTGAAAAATACTTTCGATTATTTCATGGAATTAAAGCCACAGCTTATGTTCTCATTTTTCCAAAAACCCAAATGCAGCTGAAACTGCAGTGCAGCTCATACTATGCATTATTTGTTGAGGTGTCCTCGCTGGTCCCCATGACCTGCTTACGTGTCGGACACCGTGGTCTGTTTACCTCAAGGTTAAGTCGGTTAATTATGGTAACTATCTAATAGTTTGTTATTTTTAGTCTTGTCATAAAAGTCATTACAAGAGCTCATATTTAGGCCATTAAAAATTAATTTCCCATGAATGTACAGTCAGTAAAGTACAGTTTAAATTATTTTCTGCCAAAGGAACGTTACACATACATGTCCTCCTTACGTTGGTGTCCTCAGGTTCCCTGTTGTATTTAGACAAATCGATGCATGATGTCAGAACAGGAACAGTGTATTTCAGTGTGAGTGGGAGTAAGTGTTAGTGCACGTGTGTTTTGTGCGTCTGCACAGTGAGTGTGAACAGATGACACTGAACACACTAAAGACTTTTGGCAAACACACTTTCACTCTCTGCCTAAACATCCACAGAATTAGTGAGAATCCCATGACCATTATCTTCTACCGTCACACGTCCAGAAAACCTTATCCACACGAACACACACACAGCCCAGAAAACCTTATCCACACGAACACACGAACACACACACAGAGAAACAACAGTTGGTTTCTATTCTCCATGTATGAGAGAAGGAAACGCAGCTGGTGGAAAAAAGGCAGTGTCACTTGCACAAAGTAGGTCAAATAACTGTTGATGAATTATTTCCTGGTGGCTAATGGCTTTTCTGCAGTCTAACAAGGCAGAACATGACACTGCATCCAGCTCAGGATGAATCTGTGGCCAATTACTGCTTAACAAGGCTGTTAATGAGGGGTCTGAAGACCCGGATTCTTGGAGAAAGGCCTGAACATTCTGTGTCTTCTGACGGAAGCTCAGATAAAGGAAGACTTTTTCTCTTGACAGCGCAGGTCAGGAAAAATCCAACCTGTCCAGTCAATGTTATTACTGTCACCAGTGCTGCAACACCGGAGGAGGAGGTGCCGTTTGTCAGAGATTAAACTGACATGAAAGGGTTGTTTAGTAACCCAGCTGAAAGAATCATATGTTTAGATGCACCATGACTTAGCATTATTTAAAGGAGCAGGCGGTGCAAGAGTTGCCGTAAGCATAATGATATCCTAATAAAGTTTGTAAAATCAGAAAGATCTGCTTTCATTTTCATCATCTGACTCCATAAAATAATTATTAAATTATCAATTTTTCTTAAAGTTGAAATTAGAATAAATGTGCCAAAAAACCAACCACACAAACTGGGAAGGTACCCAGTATCAGACAACATTATTCTGTTAGTACAATAATTTGCTCTCTGCTCTGCAGTACTTTAAACACATGATAAACATAAATAACACAGTGTCTCTCTTCGGTCTGTTTTGTCACTGCAGATCATAAACTAAACGACAGATCTGACTCTGCTAAATTACAGACACTGGGATTCAGCTCTGGCTGCAAACGGCTGTAATAACTGTCAACTGTCAAATGTGAGCAGTAACATAACAGTGGACGTTTAATGTCCTGTCTGTTGGCGGAACGTGATTGATGAGTGAGCGGCAGATTTATTTCATTTAATGTAACAGGCCAGACAATGTGAGCGATGCTTCAGAAGATGAATTGATTATTTTTCAATCAATTTGGGTTTCAGCTCGTCTAGTTTCGCAGAAACCGTGAAATAATTCGATTCTAATTAAAATATATCACTGCCTCTGGGGTTGTCTTCATTCTCAGACAGCAGAGGCAGCACGTTTATTTAGTGGCAAAGCAGCTTAGAAAAAATTTAAAAATACCATTTAGAATTTATCTTGGGTGGAAAATAATGAGTATTTTAGAAGCCTGGAAGTTGGAAACCTCTAGGAACATGCAGTTTTAGGAAGTGATGGCAAACGTGAGACACCCAGTATAATTAACACAAACATTAATGGTCAAAACAAAAATGGACTTAATACTGCTTCTTTCTTTGTTTGTGGCTACAGGTCATTGTTTTTTTTCCTTTCTTTAGCTTTACTTTTCTACCCTCTCTCACATTGACTCTCGCTCTCTCTTTTATGTGAATTTGGCAACAGCACACCAGCTGCCCCACACAACCAACCAGAACCTGGACAAAGGTAAGACACTGTCTAATTCCATACTGGACAAAAACAGAGCAGGACAATAAAACAATACAAATCAGACTTATGTGCAGTCACATTAACCACTATAAGTAGTAGAATCACCACTTCTTAAGATGGTTTACATTTAGAGAGCGAGATAATGTTGCCAGTGCCAATTTGCTTTTATTACACCCACAGTACCCATCAGAGGACAACAGTCAGCATTGTGTAAAGGCCAGAAAGTCATAAAGAAACAAAGCCAACAGCCTGACTAACTAAATGTTTAACCGTGTTCAATGTGACAGCAGCTAACTTGCTCGCTGCGTGGAGGTCGTGTATTGTTACATTCCCTCCAGGGAAATTCGAATGCACTGAGGTTGATATCATCCTTTCGCCAATGCTAATCACAAACTGGATGATTCTTCGGGGAGTATGAAAACTTTTGGCAGAGCTGGCAAGAACGTTCTCTCAACCACAAATGGATTGCAGATGTTCCACACTAAAAGCCCTTTTGGATTCTGACAACAGAAATACATGTGATCTTTTCTTAATATTGCCCTAAAAAACGTGTTTCTGTTGGGTGAATAGGATGTATTGTCTTATTCTCTCATTTGGAGGGGATGGTTTTTGGAACACCAGTGGTGGACGCTCGTTGGGAGAGGGATCAAACAGTCAATAAAAAAAATAAAAAATAAAAAAATTGAAACCTGCAATTTCATTAGAATCTACAAACATTGCACAAACTCAGTCATTGTTATATGCTAAGCGCTGACAGATCCTGGGCCGGTTTGCAAAGATGACTTGATTTGCAATGTATTACGCCCACTCAGGTTTTTCCTTGAAATGTGCACCGTAGTCTTTCACAATGTTTGTCTTTTATTTCTCATTTTGGCATTCACACAGACGAGGTCAACAAAGTGCCTTTTACTTAGCGTTTGCACGACATTCTGAAGACTTTTGTAGTTATAATTCTAAATCTAATTATGACATCTGTGACCCGGAGTCGCCTGCAGAATGAGCTTCACATTGAAACTGGATGTTGTACCAAAGTTGATGTCAAGTTTAGACATTCTTCATTTCCTGAAGGGAACTCCTGAGGGAATAATAACGTTTCTATTTATCTATCTATCTATTTCAATTTCAACCTGTACTCTAATGTGTATTTAAAATACCCTGACTTTATAGTACCGACACACTTTACAGAATAACAAAACCCAATGTAATTGTCACGTAGCCTTTTCTAGCCATCATGGAAAGAACCGACTCGTTCTTTTCACTCTCCTCCTGCGTTCTTCGTCACATCATTGTTGTGTGTGTAAAGGCTCATTAATGCCCCAGATGAATTGAACTGGTTTAATACCGTATATGCCAAGGCTGCCCCGACACAATTTCCCACATCATTGGAACAATAAAATTGAAAAAAAAAACAAAAAACAAACACACAAGGAAGTGAGGAAGACTTTCTGTGGCATGATAATTTCAGGGCCACAGTGGCGGTCAGTAAGTTCACAGCAGACCTTCAGAGGAAACTACTCGACACTTGACTCCCAG